GGCTGTTCCAAAACATTATCTAATTGCTGTATTTATCACCAGGGGTATGGTGTGGGTGCATTCACCAAGACAATCTTATTGAGCACTTTCACAGGGCTGGAAATAGCCACAAACATGTTTTTCTGCACTTTGTTCCTCTTCTCTAGATCCAATGTAGCATCAAACCCCATGTGGACATCATCCTCCCCAACACAGATGGGATGGAGCTTCTGGTGTGCTATGAAGATGAGGGGGTTTATGTGAATACATGTGGAAGGATCACCAAGGATGTGGTTCTGCAGTGGGGAGAGATGCCCACATCTGTAGGTATGTAGAACTCAGGCAGTGTTTGTGAAAGTGGAGCCTTCTCTAAGACTGCATGTATTTATCATACTAATTTTACCTGTGGTTTAACTCTTCTGGTCATGTAGTAGAGTGGTTGGCAATAGATAGTGGGAAGGTCAGTTGCAGACCATGGAAATAGTTATTGGTCTATTTTAGAACAAAATCCAAGTAATTATTTTATATTTTTTAAAACTCAACAGTCTCTCATTTAATTTAACTTAAGATATCTGGAGAAAATAGGACAGGTGTTTTTGTTGACCAATCTGTGGAAAGGAAAGGGAGACAGAAAGGGAAGCGATTTGCTCTTGGGAGTGGCAGAGCCACAGCCAGACACACAGCTTCATACACAGTCTTCTGCTTTGCATTTGAGAATAAGGGCTGATGTTTGAAATTTTCATAGGTTTACATTCATATCCCCAAACTATTTTTGTTTTATTACAATTAAGTCACGTCTGTCCACTCATCATTTCTTTTTCGTGCCTTCGCTCATGACTGGATTGATGAAAACATGTGCACTAATAAACTAAACTCAGTGGGTTATTTTTCAAGATAAGCATGTAAGGCCTGAGGGAAATTAATAGATTCAACCATTGATTAAGATTACCACTTGCCAGGATAGACTAGGCAGTTAGGAAGGCAAAGTTTCTTAAAAACAAAAATCCTCAAATGCTAGCCATTTAGGTGTGTGTGTTTGTGGGTGTGACATAAGTACATCTTTTCAAGGCTATTTCATTGTCTTGAATGATTTGCTTTTTTTTTTTCCCTCCCGAAAGCATGTACTCAATCCAATCAGACAATGGTCTGGGGAGAAAAGGCTATAGAGATCCGCTTTGTGGAAACTGGCCACTTAGATGTGTGTTTATGCACAAAAGAGCTCAAAGACTAAAATTTCTAAGTGAACGCAATGACAGGTAATAGTTACCTTATGGCTTCTTTTTAGTTCTGCTATCTTTTAGCAGTGGTTTATTTTCCATGGAGTTTGGTGATGAATTTCCTTGGCGTTTGGATAGATTCTGAAAAAGGTTCATCAAGGAACTTTTAGGCATCACTTTTACGCATGTTTGTTGGGGTTGGAGTGCAGTTTAGTTTGTTTTTTATTGTGGGGATGGAAGTATTTGTCTGTAGAAATCATCATATGTTTGCTTTCATGGGTTATTTTTAACCCTCTTAGGTGACCTGTCTAGTCTGTATTTTGTTTGGGGAAATGGGAAGTTTAAAGCTGCCGATTTAGTTGGATGGGATTCTTTTAGGAGTGGAAGTAACCACCCATGCAATTGGGTGAGGTAAAGATTCTCCTCTGATGTGTAGCAGAAAGATAACACTTGTTAGTCTGCTTTTTTTTTTTCTGTCTTTTTTTCTTGTCCGGCAACGGATCGCAACCCTCAGTGTCGCGCCCGTACCGGACCGGGACCGGCAACGGGATCGCAACCCTCGGCGCTGCGCCCGCACCTCGCTCAGCCAGTGAGCGGGAACCGGTCTGTATGTGGGATCCGAACCCTCGGTGGGAGCGCCACCACGCTCCCAAGCGGCGCACTGTAGCAGTGCGCCACCGGGCTGGCCCGTTAGTCTGCTTTCTGAGTAGTGAAATAGCTTCCTGGTTTGCAAATGAGAAATGTTAAACAGTAGAATTCATTTTGTGCAGAAGCACCACAACTCCTGCACCTCACTAGGGTGTCAAAGCCACTTTCCTTTTCAGAACTGGCCACAACATCCCTATCGGCTCTAGAGGTTAACTCTCTTCTTGGAGAGTCCCTCCCAAACCAGCCTGGTTGTGGAGCAGATCAATAGCCCAGGGTACTGGCCCATCCCGGCCTGCTGTGGGAAAGACATTGAGGGTGGAACTGACCTTTACCAAGTCCAGCCTTCCCCCATTCTGTCTAGTAGGATGAAGGCATGTCTGACCACCTAAGGCAATGCACTGCAGCCTTAGAAACTTGCCTCTTAAGGATATTTCCACCTCTTGTCTCATATCGAGATATAGCAAACATTTTGGCACCCAACCTGCAGGCTGACTTTTCAGATTAAACTCATAAACTCAACGTGAGAAAGAAGAGAGC